AAAAAAAAGAGAGTTACTGAAGCAAAAATGAAAGGTATGCACTACCACCAAAAAAAAGAACGTATAACTTTCTAACAGAAAGCGTAATATAAATTATATGGATGTTGAAGAATGCCTAATCATAGTAATGCAGATAAGACATATGATAATGCACAAGATTCTTTTAACAACAATGTTGAAAGTGTTAATAGCGACAATGGTAATAATAATAGATTTATATTAGTCATTATTTAATTTAATATATATATATATATATTTATTTATTTATTTATAATATTGAGGTATATAGAAAGATAATATTGGTTTTGTATGTATACCAATTTTGGATACCCCTATCAAGAATGTACTCTTAATTGATATTTATTATTTGGGTAGATATGTTATTAATAGAGATATCCAAAATGGTATACAAAGCTGATATAAGATTGGAATCTAAAAATTATTTTTGTGACTTTTGATCAAGATAACACAGATGAGAATACACCTGAACCTGATAACTTAACAACTACTAATCCCAGTCAAGATAACACAATAACCACTGATCCTATCTTCAGTCAAGATAACACAGCTCTTGTAAAAAAGATGTCAAAAAAAAGAAAATCAGCCCCCATGCAAGTACGTAATACAAATATTAAAGTTATCGATCACTACTATCAGGCTATAAATCTTGATAACAATGGTAATTTATAAACCTTTTGACTTGAAACTATGTAATACTATGTACTAAAAAATATCCACCCTTCTATTAAAATATAAATATAGAGCAAAGTGCTATAGTTCCAAAGGATAATATTTCATCATTATTAAAAAATTGTCTTCGTTCCTCTGTTCGAAAATCTAATAATATCAAAAACATATCTGAACACAGTGTACAAGATTCTGGTAATTCAAATGATTTTTAGCCATATTTATGTGAAAAAATATTTAGTGGTATTAATTCAAATTATGGCCTAGATTAAGTTTAATTTACCATGCTTTAAATAATACTATTAAATATTGTTTTATAAATATATAATATTGTTTTATAACTTCATACTATATCTATTT